TCCTTACATGGATGCACAACGATACGCAAATGTTCTTATTCACTAAATGATTTTTTTAATAAATGGTAATTGCATGGTTATTTTCAGCTCTCACAATTAACGTGCAGTTACAAGCAGGGTAAACTATTGTGGCTGCACTGTGGGTCAAAAGCCTTCCTTCAGTTAAATCTATGAAGGCTGGAAATCCAATGTATTTTCAGTCTACATAGTGTTTGTTCCAGGTTCATTGACAGAGCAAAAAAACCCAATGACATATTTTTTCTATAAAAGGGGAGCACAGGAGGAAAAAAATATTAGAGAATAGTCAGATTTGTGCTACAGATAAATATTTTAATTTTTCTTTAAAGGAAAGGTGATGCTAAACTTGCCATTTTTCAAGATATGATGTAAGCCTATATTGTAAGTTTTAATGTTGTCAGGCATTCTTTGCACATCATCCTTAAAAATAGTACAAAACTGTGTGCATGTGTAGAATACTGTATTCATTCCTGTCCAGCTCTCAAATATTTTGCTTATGTGAAAACAGGTTTTTAACTGATTCATGTATCATATTATTTAAAAATAAAGTGGGCACTAAGAGCATAATTTTTCAGAAGCGCTAAGCACAGCAGATTAAGTCAGTGATAACTGCTGGTAATCATCAGACCCTCTGATGGCTGAGCCCTGAAGTCTGTCTTCATGCCAAAATGTTATGTTTTAGAGGCTGCAGCTTAGGAAAGGTAAATGACAAACACTCCTAAGAATGATCTTACACCTGGGTTTTGAAAGCACCCCTACCCCAGACGCAATCAAAATGCAGCTGACCATGGTCAGTACAAATTGAAACATATATATATACACATACATATATTTATGCACATGTATATGTGCATGTATGTGCTTGTGTGTGTATATATGTGTGTGTGTAGATATGTATATGTGTGTAGATATAATGTATCAATGTAAAAGATGTATTTATAGTCTTCATGCTGCTGAATGTGTCGCTTTACAATTCATAAATACTTAGGTTTCTTGCAATACTGCAATATAAAGGCTGAACAGAGTTTTACTTCAGCCAAGTTTTTCAATGCAGAAATCTTCTCTGATCTTTTTTTTAATGATCCCATATAATACTCTGCTGACCAGGAATATTTAGTCTGATATTTAACAACGGAATGGCAACATGAGATTCAGCTTATCTTCATCTATGTAAATTATTTTGTAAATTATCTGTAATATAATTTGCTTATATATTGCTGTCATTGCTAGGATGAGACTGTCATTTCATTTCTCACTGCAGCCTCATTTGTGTTGTTTCAACGGTTTTCTCCACATCATTGCACTTTAATACAACCCATTTCACCATTTCCTTTTTTACTGCTGTTGTGAATTAGAAGTTCAAAGACAGAGGTCTCTACTGTAATTAATTTGAATAAATTTCAGCACTTCTTGCTGAATGCCTTTATATAGATATTCTCTGAGGTTTATTTTGTCTCGCAGTCTTGAAAGGTTCTTATGGGTATCTTAAAAAAAACTGAGAGAGGCTGGAGGATTTGGAATGAAAAACCAGGTCTGTCTAGCTGTTGCTTGTCAGGGTCTGTGTGTTCCAGTCCTTTGCCTGTTCATTCTGGGACCGTTTCAGGGATACGGCATTTCACCCTTGTGCTGCGGTCTCACCTGGCACTGGGGAATCAAAGCATGTCTGCAGGTTGGGGATAAAAAATTAAAGCCAGTACCAGGTGATTGGATTGATTCCCTTCTTCCCATACACCCTTTTTTGAAAGAAGGCATGTGGCCCTTGGGTTTTCCTGAAGAAAGCAGTGTATCCCATGGTTCGCCTTCTCCTGTAG